AGAAAGAGTTCTTTTTGAGAATGACTACCACAATGTGGGGAAAGGAAATGTGCTGAGGAATGGAAGGTGAAGCAGGGCAGAAAGAGTTTCCTGTGGCCTCTCCCTCTTCAAGACCAATCAAGACATGGCACTTCCACAATTGTGCCACTCCTGGCTGCAATCAAGGCTTCCACTTAGAATGTGGCATCAATACCCCCAGGGTGCCCACATGCTGCACTATCACCTCTCTGAACCCAAGCTTTCCTCAAGCAGTTTGGGATTGGAAAAGCTGGCTTTCTACCACATGCATGGCCTAAGTGGCCATTCTGAACCTCATGTTCCACTTCTTCCATGATTCCTCATGGACACCAGTAATTTGTGACAAGGCCTACCACACCCAAGGGGAATGGTCAGAGCCCTATCAACTCCTCTCTTCTATTCCACAGGGTATGGCCATTCCCCTCCTCCTAACTCTGCTTACCATCTGAGTTCATGCTCATTATTTTTTCTTGTTGTTCTTTTTCAGGAGCACCTCACACCATCCCACCACAACCATTTCCTTCTGAGGTCATCACTGAGTTCACTGAGAATTGTGATGCTCCTTTGTTCCTTGACTCTGAACTTGAGGAATGGGCAGACCTCTTTGAAGCTCATGCTGGCTTGACAACTTCTTCCCAGCCCACCTGTGACTTGATGATTTTTGATGGTCTCACAGCTCACCCCATCACTAATCCCCTCCTTGATGGTCCTCTCTTCTGCCTACAGACCGTCAGAGTTGTTCAGTCTTGGACCTCACCTGATGTTCAACACTTCAACATTGCTCCTGGTCTGTGGGTTGCTGTGCATGCTGATTCAGATGAGGACACCCAGGACTTTTGGATTGGTAAGATCATCAGTGTCCTTCAAAAGAGGCTCAACATCCACTGGTGGAACTTTGGCCATGGGCGCTTGGCTGACCATGGCACTGAGGGAACTGTCCCAATGGGGTCTGTTCTGGCATGTGGCTTCACCTTCTGTACAAACACTGGAGTCCCACTGCCCACACTCCAAGAGATCTTCAGACACCTGTAAAATAAAAACTCCTCCTTTCTTCTATATACACTTCCTTGACATCATTTTGTTTATTACATGATACTCATACAGGCCTCTACACCATCTTCATCAGTTGAGCGAACAAGTCCTATACCTTCAATCCAGAGTCACTGCTGGTCCAGGACATCACCAAGATTCCCATGGCCTACAAGAAGCCCTCCCTCATCAAGAGGTGGAACCTGAAGACCCACTTGCTCCTCAAGTGCATCAATGGAGTATGCATTTTTTTCATCTGACTTGGTGGCACATGCTCTTCTCACCTGCTTCCCAACCAACAATAGGTCATGTCTTCTATCAGCTTGTCCTTACTGCCTCCAGCACCAAGTGTCCTTGACTACACTCCACTTTGTGCTACTCCACTTCATGCCTGCTTCCATCTTGACTTCAGCTACCACATCATGGTAGCATCTGCTCAACTGAATGAATCCAAGACCAACATCATCACAAGTGCAATCAACAGCATCATCATTCACTCCAACCCAACCAACATCACATCCTGGATTTCAGCAGCCCAGACTGTGGCACATCAACTCACCTCATCCAGTACCTCAACTTCTTCTCAACCTTCACCCCACTCCTCCATCTCAACCTCCACAGCATCAGCTCCTAGCACCCCTGTGCAGGTATTCAACCATGCCTTTTTTCATTGTGTACACAACAGCCTGTCCTGCAGTTTCATAGCATAATAGGCATTGAAAATAGCTTCAACACTTCCTTGTTGTTGGCCATGGCTGATGGCAGGGTGAGTTGCACCTGACATGATGACAACAAAAACTGTAAAACCAGACACTTATGTTATTGTGTATGCACACATGACAACTATATTCAACCTACTTAGTTATTGTGAATGTGTACACAATCTGGAAAATCTGAACCTAAACTTGTGGTCATTTGAAATGAGAGGTCACAAATGACCATGGAATTTTTGTTGTGCTAAAATCATGTGAGATTTGACATTTTTGATTTATAGGGCAGTTTGGAAGATTTGGATCTGCATGTGTGATTTTGACATGCAAGACTGCTGCATATAAGTGATATTGAGAGACTTGAGATGAAAATGCTTTCATAACATCTTGGGTTTTGTGGAGTTAAAAGTGATTTTAGCAGCGTGAAATGGAGTGGAATTTTAACTTCAGGAATAGTACTCTAATTCAGCACAAATGTGAAGAATGAAGTTCTGTCTGTGAGTGCAACTGACTGAATATGGTGTGAGGTTGTACATGAACTGGAAGTGAGGGCACCATGTTGGCCACTGATTATGGAATTGATGGAGGGGGTGAAAGCAAAAGCAAGGTGCATTTTGAGGTTGTTCCAAGTAGCACTGACACAAAACAAGGTAGAGTCAGATTTTACTTTGCGCCAACATGTCTGTGATAAACAAAGAAATGGTAGTTTGAATGTGTAGACATCGTGTATGCATATGTGATAGAGTAAGCATCCAGTTTTACAGTTTTTGTTGTTGTGTATGTGTATGTGATAAAACTTTTGAGATGAGTTGGAGTGAGCACTTGTCATGGA